TTATTAATCTGTAGCTATTCATTTTGAGTGCACTGTATCAGGTGAACAGAGGTAGCAACTCCTAGAGACACAGGAATACATTTTAGAAATAAAGTTCTAGTTCATTGAACATGGTTGCAAGGATATGATTGTGTTTTGTGTGAAGATTGCTGACCCAGACAGACCACTTGGGCCCCTCAGCACCTTCCTTTCTGTCTTCCCAGTTTCTCATCTATGCTCCCCTTTGCCTGTTCTCCAGTCCACACTCCACACAGCAGTGAGAGCAAAGCCCTGAAGGCCACCAACAGAGACAGGAGCCTTTCTTGCTTTCCAACTGACTCCCCTGTTCCAACCCAAGAGAGAATATGACCTCCAAGGCCTTTCACAACTTGGCTTCAGCTCCCCTTCCCTCCCAGTCTGAGAATCTCAGGCTCCAATTATGCTGAAACTGTGCCCTGAAACTACCTCCAAGCAGCACAGGGTCAAGTTTATTCACACATTCATCCTTTTCACTGGGGTGAAGGAGGACAGATGGGCATGCGCTTCCTTCAACGTGTATAGAACAATCTATCTGGGTTTCTAGAATTAAGACACGGCAGTATTGACAACATGAAGCAGACTCCTATAGAAATGTCCTACTGGATTCAAACGTTATAAATCAACATATATTCAGAAAAGGTGTCTTCCTGGAGGCAGTCAGCTGATGTCACATCAGGGGTAGCTTTTAGCTTTCGTCCTTTACATATTGAATATAGAGGGTCACTAGGAGGGACAGAGCCAGGTTTCTAAGAGCCATGGTCTCTGCTGTTCCTCCTCCTCACTTGAGTGGTGAGATGAACAGCTGAGAGAGGGGTAAATTATGCTGGGTATTTGGAAGCCATTCTATTCTAGCTAAAGCCAACGAAGCTTCGAGGTTTATTTGGGTCAAGCAGATATGATATCAAAGATATGACGAACTAGTTGCACCAATCTGAGGGAGGGGTCAAGGGAGGCATATGCTCCTCATAGCACCTTTGCAGGACAGTGGCCGCTGCACAATGCACCCTCATTCTGCTGTTCCAAAGCAGTGCTTTTTCCAGGTTTAGATCTTGTTAATACATCCTAAGTTCATTTTCTGTTCTTTGATCTGCATTTGGGGAGTCAAAGCTGAACTTTGTCTTTCACAGTTTTTTGTTTTGTTTTCGGCCACCTCCTCTCTCTTTTCTTGGCCTACTTCAGTACTGAATATGCAGCAGACACTCTGCAAATATTTGCTAGGACAAAAAAGACATGGCAAGGATCAGAAACCTAGAATAAGTAACACTGTCTGGTAGGTCTTCGTTCTGTAACCCATTTTTTTGAGGCCAGCAAATGTTCTTTGAGGCTAGTGTCCTAGCATTTTCCCAGAAAATCCTGCCATGTGATGGCTTCTGTTACCTTTGGTTTCCTTCTGCTAGCCACATGTCACTGAAGTCCCTTGGTCAAGCCCCTGCCTTTCCTACTTGCTCCCTTCTCCCTTTTCCTTATCCTGTTTCCTCTCCCCCTCTTTCTTCCTGTATACTTGGAACCTGTGTTCTATGCCTGATCCAACACTGGGATGCACAAACATGTAGAGAAACCATGCTGGGTGCTCAGAATCTGTAGGGAACTCAATCTAGTGGGCAAATGCATGCATTTGCACACCTTTTCAGATGGCACGGAAGGCTCCCACACTTCAAAACAAGCAAAAGAGAATGGGAAGTGACCAGGCTGAAGACCAAGGGCATCTTCCCAGGAGAAGTAAAACAAGAGTTCAGTCACAAAGATAGAATACATATAAGCTAGTTGCAAAAGACAGAATGGGCACTCCAGACAAGGGGAAAACACACCCATCCCCACATACATGAATGCACCTACGAATGCATAGGCAAGGAGGTTAGGGGGAAATGGCAAAACTAGGTCTGGTTTTTCTCTGTGACTTATCACTCCATCACACAGTTTATACCCTGGCCGCTTACCTCACAGCAAATGGAATGATTCAATCCTCAGGCCTTTCAGGAAATTTGGCTACCCAATCATTTAATCTCTCATTAGAGAGGTAGAGCCTAGCCACAAGATTAAACACATTCTTGGGTGAAAACAGGATTGGGTATGAGGGAGTCAAAAATCTCACACAGTACTCAACTGTTCTTGGCTTGCCTCAAGCTGGTTGTTTGGAGAAACTGCAGCCTCTGTAGAGACAGAAACAGAAATGGCTCCAGAAAGCTAACCTTTGGAAAAAAGAAACTTAATCTGTCAGGATTAGTAAATAACAGAGGAAAACACGGCTGTTCCCCCAAGTCCCCCCCCCCCCCCGTTTCCATCTAGCAGAAACCCCTATGGGAAAAAGAGACTTGGGTGTGACACCTGGCTCAGAGAGACTGCCTGTTGCCAGCAGTGTTGGCTTCCAGGAGTACACACCCTCTTCCCCAAGGCTCTTCTCTGATCCCACTCCTTTTCCATCTCTCATGGCCCATGCCACCTCCTTTCCTCCCAGGAGCCCTGGCCCTTGTCTCTTTGTATTATCTCTGTAAGGCTCAACAATTTTGCCCTCTTTTGAGTCTTAGGTTCAATTTGTATGCAGGTGCCATGCTTAGGCACTGTGGAAGAATTTGTGATCTTTTCCCATTTTATTGTCTTGTCCCTCCCCCAACCCCCAAACTAATAGTTCTCAGAGGAAGAATTTAAAACTTCCCTCTCAGTAGTGACAGAAATCCTGGTGGGAGGCAGATGGAAACCAAGCAACTCATGGAAATTCATTCCATTTTATCTTTTCTCATCGTGGGAATTTAAGTCAGACTCCTTTGCTGTGAAAGGCTGCAGATCATCTGAGCGACTGATCTTATAACCTGAGAATGAAGTCTGAAGGAGAAGGGCAGAACTTTCTAGGAACCTTGGGTGATGGTAAGGCCCATTTTGAAGCCATCTGGACTGGAGCTCAACAAGGTCAACACATTTGCAGAACATAGGGTAGATCCTCCAAATCCTACCTGCTCAGCTGCTCAGAGAAGGGTAAATTAGAAGACTGAGCCCTTGTCCCAACACAGTTTATTTCTGGGCGCAGAACAGGAGGTCAAGGCTGACCTCTATGGTCAAGAGTCAGCTCAACTTTAAAATTATGATCGCATGTGAAGGCTAAAATGGGAAAGGGAAAACTCAGTTCTCAGCACAGAAATGTCGAAAATCCTTAGCCTGCATTCCAGTTATGGTCTTGGCCCATGTACACAGATCTCCCGCTGGGGGTAGGTGGGTGGGAGATCAGCCAAGTTCCTTGCAAACCGGCTGAGTGTCAGGGTTCATGGAGTGTACTCTAGAGGTGCCCAGTTTATGGATAAAACTATTTACTGTAGTGATTATGTTTTATAAACAGAAGCTCGTGGGTGGGACTTATTGAGAGGGATGCCTGCCAGTCTTAATCTCAATAAGCCTTGTGAATTAATGAAATGCAAGGAGTTTAAGGATAGAGTTTGTTTCCATCCATTACTGGTCTCCATAACAAGCGATCTCTATTGACAAGTAAAAATAACAGAAATTCATTCTCATACAGCTCTGGAAACTGGAAACCTAAAATCAATAGTGATTCCTTCTGGAAGATCCTAGAAGAATCATTTATGATTTTCCCATTCAAGAGGCTTCTTGCAAACTTTAATGTTTGTTTCTTAGCCTATAACTACAGAACTTCAAACTCCTAAGCATGTGATGTTTCCCTCTGTGTCAGTGTCTATGTGTATGTACTACTACTTGATGGATAACAGCTTCAGGGTTAAGGGAGACCCCAATATGAATTTATTTTAATTTAATTACATCTACCAAGACTCCCTCTAAATAAGGTGATATTCATAGATATCCAGGGTTAGGGCTTCAACACATTTTGTTTTGTTTTGTTTTTGGAGAGGATACAACACAACTCACAGGCATGATAAGACCAAAATCCCATGTAGAAAACAAAATCCCAAGGTTGACATGTCTGTTCCCACTGGGTTAATCTCACCCTCTGAAAGTCTTGGCTTCTCTCTGCAAGCAATACTTGCTCTACTTCAGAAACACTCTGAGAATAAAACAAAAATTGCATATGGTATTTCCTATTGGAAAGTGTTTCTACAAGTGCAAGGGATTATTATGAATTCATTCCAGATTGTGTTGACTTTCCTTTAACTTCATAACTACTTAATGAATAGGCAATGGAATGAGAAACATAGCCTGACTTACAGGGAAGAGAATTTAAATTACATGCCTCCCTTCATTTGGGTTTAAGATAAAAATTATAATAGAAATCTGCAGATAAGGAGAGTAGTATTACAAATCCTTGTACAGAGCCTTTTATTCACCCCCAAGCAGGGTGGTATTCAAATGCTGTGAAAAGGTGGCAAGCTTTAAAGCAAATCAAGAGGGACAGTCTCAACCATGACATCAGCAGATATCAGTATTGGCAGTGGCTCGCCGGTTCTCTGTGTGGTCCATATTACTGGATATGATGATAATGTCCTCATGGTTTTTGTTTTATTTTGTATTGCTGGGCATCAAACCCAGAGCCTCACACATACTGGGGGAGAGCTCCACCACTGAACTACATCTCACCTCCAATGTTAACATAGCTGCTTTGTCCAGTGACTTCTCTGGATATAGGGACAAAGACCACCCAACTTAGAAATTTAGCCTAAGATAATTTCTTTTCCCAGAAGGATGAGATATACACAAACCAGAACTTGGAATTCCAGCAAGAAGAAATCTGTTTTCATGCTACTAGACTAAGCTTCAAAAGGAAATATGGCTACTCTTGGACATACCAAGAGAAGGACGGTACCAGCTTGAGAACTTTAGTTACATCCCAAGTATCATGTGATCCCCTTGTTTGCATTGACTGTGGATTGTGAAAGGTTGATGACCCAGGAGAAATACCACAGAGAAAAAATTGCACAACCCAAAAGAGTAATTTCTCAATCTACCAGACAAACTGATCCATCCCTTTCTCAGTGCTGGGGATTATCATATACCTTCAAAAACATACCAAACCACACAGCAGCTAATAAACAAAACTTTATTTTCCTTTAATACAAAATTAAATAGCAAGTTCTTTTTTAATACAGTGATAAATTAGAAATTTACAGTACAGACATCAATGCAGACACACTTTTGTACATCCTTAAAAGGAGGGTCTATTTTCTTTGAAATTAGCAATTTATTCAGGGTCTGTATAGCAGGGTTTGCCCGGTACCTCTGTATCAAGCATTTGAATGGTCCCAGGTTGCCTCCAGGTTTCTAGAGGTGTTGAGAGGCATGAAGATCCAAGAAAATGCTAGAGAGCAACTAGCCAGAAGGCTACACAGAATAGCTCTAAGTGTATTTTATCTTTCTGCAGGCTGAGATTGTTACTTAGTTGATCTTTCTTATGAAGAGCTCAAGGGACCTTCATCCTTGGGCCTTCTAAAGCCTCACACCATCTCTGTGAGGTAGAAGAAACTCAGAACCACCCGGATGCCCACTAGGAAAACTCTAGAAAGCAACTGATCTCTCCCTATAACCACAGTCAAGTCAGGGCCTCAGTCTGTTAAACTTCCAGGATTTTGAAACATGCATATCTTGGGAGGGAGGACAGACACCTGTGCGTTGCAGAGTTGCCCTTAACCCCTCTCAGAAGCCTAATGGGATCACAGTGGTCATTAACTAAACATTATCAGAGATCAAGAAGGCACAAAAGCTCTTGTGGCTCATATGGGATTCCAAAAAGACTCTCTTCCAACTGCCTGGGTGAATACTAGGAATTGGCTGCTGCAAAGAGGGGGGAATAAAGCAAATGAGAGGCAAAGATAAGTTATCACCAGGGCAAATGTGCTTATCAGAAGAGGTATGCTGGGGAAGGGGTGGGGGACATGGCAAAAGAAAGTAACACAGAGCTCTATCTGAGCCAGTGGAACAAAATCTATTACTTGGGGCTTCTGTATGTGATCCTTTGTAGAAGCAAAATGCTCTCTCTCTCTCTCTCAGGAGTTTCAAAATCTTTGACCTAGGCATGAAGAGAAAGTGATAACTAGGTCCTTTGCTAAACACACTGAAAACCAAGACAGGGACTCTGAAGTCAAGTACAATAAAAGACCAAAAAGCATTGTCCAAGGCAGGAATAGCAACTCTTCTCCTGTGCCCTCCGTCACAGGATGGAATTTACACATTAAGCAGTTCCTGCCAAAGCCTGTGCCCTCTTGGTTTCCCTTCCTAACTGGAGCTATAGGCCCCTAAACAGACACGTCACACAGGCGAAACCTCTTTCAATTGTGCCTGCTCTTTCAGGACTGAGTCCATCTTGGTATCCCATGACCCAACTTGGCACTCAATACCAAAGACAATTAATTCTGTGAACAAAGGGCTGGAGATGTTAGATAGGGCCTGATAAGGGTGCGTCTCTGGTTCTGGGTTTAAGGAGTAAAAGTGAGGGAGTGATGGAAAGAAGTAAGGGACCATCTCAGGAAATAGTATCACCTTTCCCTTGTTTCAGGCCTCTGGGCGCTGAGCCAACGCAGAGGCCATCTCAGCAGCCAGGAAATAGGTGGCCATAAAGGAAGAAAGATACCATCAGCCCAGTAGCTCCACCAGGTGGTTCTGGTCACTACACAGCGTTCCTCTGCCCTAAGGTTTGGCTGTTATGAAGCAAGACAAGAGGTAGGGCAGAGATGCCCTTACCTTTGTTTAATAGAATATTTGGAAGCTTGAGGACTTTTCTTGAAAATGACACTCACACTTACTCATTTTAGATCTCAGAGGAAGGAAACACACCTAACTTACCCCTCAGCATGCTGCTGTCCTCAAACCTATCAGTAGAAGTCCCATGGGACACTCCAAGCCCTGACCATCCGGTGCCCAAGGCCACAGGAGATTACAGTCCTTTGGACCTACTCTGATTGTCCTGGGGAGTTTGTATGGAGATTGTCACGAAGCAAGGCTGATGCTTTCTGATATTAATTAATCATGGAAAGGTAGAGAGACCTAGGAAGAATTGTGTGAGGAGCTAGTGGAAATGACATGAAGTGATGAGGTTGCTTGAAGTGTATTGGTAAGGGACTCCTCAGTCATCAGGTTCTTTTCCTGGAAACTGGAAACATTCTTCATCATCTAGAATATGAAAGGAAAGGCCTAACAACTCCATGACATTGCTAAGACTACTAAACCAGTCTGAACTGACAGCCCTCTTTGCTCAAGCAAAAATTCCCCTGAAAAAGCAAGTGACTGATGGGACAGAAAAATTGTTAGTACACTAGCTCCAGAATTCAGAGTACAGGTGGCCAGGTTCACCTAAGGGCTTGCTGTTGTCATGGTTTTTGTTGACACAGACCCAGCCCTTTGGAGGGTGCTGTCTTGGTCCCACAGTCACTGAAGCATTCATTACAAGGAGAATTACATTACAAAGCCTACACAGCAAAGGCAGTCAGCTACTGCCTGGTCCCCCATCCTATCCTTGGGCCAGAGTCACTGCACAACTCCCAAGACACCAGAGCAGAGCGTGAGTAAGGGCAGAATCTGCCCTTGGGTGTACACTCTAGGGCCCTGGACAGCTATGGGAACTGTCTGCGAGTAGCACAGGGCGTGTCCATTTCACATTTCATAGGCAGCTCATTCAGGAGTTAAACTGGCCTTCCAGAGATCAGTTCTCATGGTTCTAGAGCCTTATGGCCTAGTCCAGCCTAGGTATTTAGACTGTGTAAATCATCAGGGGCCACCCAGGTTCATGAAGGTCTCTGTCTCACAAGCTCCAAGACTCTCCTTTCTGAACACACATTGGGCCTTATATGCATCTTGACTTCAGACAGTTACATAACTTGCAAAAACAAAGGGTTCAGGGAGAAAATGTCAAGTCATAGACATAAAGTTAAAAACAACCAACCAAACAAGCAAAAAAACAAAAACCCACCTAATTTTTAAAAGTATATATATATGTCCAGAATTTGATCATTTATTTGGGATTTAGAGTCTGTGAAATATTTCTCCATGAAGTATAATTGGTAAAACACGAACAGCTTTCTTACTAAACGAACAAAGCATGAATCAATAAATAACTGCAGTTGCTGAAGCAGACAGGTATGAAATACGAGGAGAGCAACCTGTGACATGTACAACAGTTTGTCCCAGAGATCTGGTGATTAAATGGCCTAAGGCAGGTTAAGAGAAAGGCCAGTTACAATTTTAAAAGAACTGCAACTTTTGATAAGTTGCTAGCGGGTACCCCCTTGTGAGGGACTTAAAGCATAAATTTTAAGAGCTTTGGATACCTTAGCAAAGGCAATTAAGACCCGTGCTGTTAGACCTTGCAGCTCATTTCATATGGTCTATACCATATCCCCTGCTAACCAATCCAGCTTCTGGCTGGCATTCTGGAGATTCATTAGGCACCATATAAATACTCCAGGCCACACTGCCTCTAATGAAGTCTTATAAGGAACCTTTGCCAATTACTAAGGAACAATTATGCACCAAGAATTCGGGTCTGCTGTCCTTAGTTGCCTTTGCAAAGTTGAATAAGTCTCCATTGTGGTAAGTAGACCAAACTCCGATAACATTCTTATGCTGTGGGGGGGCCACTATCACTATGAATGCAAGTTGACCACAGTTTTAAAGTCAATTGAGTATACTATGTCATGGTCCAAGAATTTGCTTTTAATTGTAATTGACACACACAAATTACACAGTTAATCTGTGCGAATGCAAAGTTGCCAAGAAATTTAACATTTCAGTTCTTCCAGACTGGCGTCTGCCTAGATGCAATCACACAAACTAAAATATTTTAAGTCCCAATTGCTTAACATTACTTAATGCAATAGGTCTCTGGGGTCGGTAAGGGAAGTCAACTTAGTAAATCTCATTTTCCTCTGAATTAAGTGATTGTCAGAAAGTGAATCACCTTTCCCTCCTTCCTCATTAGGCATGCAGCAGTGCAAAAAAGTCTTATAAAAATCATTTTTCTTCAGTCATTAGTGTAAAGTGAGGAAAACAGGGGCTGCCTAGAATAGGGATGTTGAAATTTAAGAGAGAGAGATCCATTGGATACCTTACGTGTGTTAGTACAGTACTTTTGTTTGTTCAAACAATTCTGTTTTACGACAAAGGCACTGAAGGATTTTGACACCACCTCTTGGGAGTGCGCTCCAGAGTTCCAAACAGCAGACAGTGTAGGCCAGAAGATGTTTATGTTAGACCAGCCAAACTATCAAACTCTGTAACACGTCTCCCACCCCAGTGTTTCCAGTGTTTATAGATCACTTTGCTATCTGAAAGATCTAGTTACTATTTAAAATTTAAGAGTTTTTAAAAAAAATTAATCTTTCTCCCTGCATGTAATCAACTCACAGCTGAAATCTCACCCGGTAGGGGCAAACAGCATCACCCTGGACTTCAGAATCTAAGCAGGACCTCTGCGCTCCAAGTTGCAACCTGCTAAAGTGATCAACATTTTGACTTTTCACAGCTTTGAAAGCCTCTAACTGGCTTTTCCATTTTGGATCATTCCAGAGTCGCTTTTATGATGCTGGGTGGGGTGAGGGGTGGTGGGCTGACAGTGGGGGTGCTAAAGTGTTTCTAGTTTGTTCAGACTGAGAGTCACTGGGTAATTTCCTTCAAAATGAGGAAATGTAGAAGCCTGCTAGGCTTATACCACAGTTTCATTGCCTTTCCCTGGCTTCACCCAACCATTCCCCCTCTTCTCTCTCTTTACCTTCCCAGAATTCACCAATCGGTTAGAACATTTTTGCCACGTGTGAAGAGTTTTAGCAGACCAAATCCACATGCCTGAAGTGATGCCCACGAGCAAAGACATAAAAATTTTCAACATTTCCACTGCCATATTAGAGTCATCTGCAGAATACCGAAAGAGTGCCCAGTTAGAGATTTCATAGAAGTAACAGGCAATCACACAGGTTGCAGGAACCGTGTACAGTACTGAGAAAACCCCGATCTTGACCATCAACCTTTCCAACTTGTCTGTCTTTGTTCCATCTTTTTGAAGATTTGACCGAATTTTGAATAAGGCCACCAAACCCGCTGCAATGAACAGAGTTCCGATCACCAAATATGTAAAGAGAGGAGCCACCACAAAGCCAGTGAGGGCATCTAGGTTTTGGTTCCCAACATAGCACAGGCCTGTCAGTTCATCGGCATCCACTAGTCTCATGATCAAGATGACAATGGTTTTCACTGCAGGGATAGCCCAGGCTGCAATGTGGAAATAAGAGCTGTGCATTTCAATGGCTTCATGACCCCATTTGAGTCCTGCTGCCAAAAACCAAGTGAGTGTCAGAATAACCCACCAAATGGAGCTGGCCATTCCAAAAAAGTACATCAGCAAGAAAATTATTGCACATCCTGTGTTCTTAAGTCCTTCTTGGATGAGAACGGGTTCTGCCGCCTCTTCAAAATCACAGGATATCCTTTCCCGGCCTACAGTCAGCCGAACAATATAAGCAATGCTATAAATATTATAGCACATACTGAGAAATATGATGGGTCTCTCAGGGTAAGAAAACCTGGATGAATCGATCAGGAAGGTCAACACAGTGAAGGTGGTAGAGATGAAACACAGACTGGCCCACACAGCCATCCAAATGTCCGTGAACTCCTTAGCTGAGCGGCTATACAGGCCAGCATCATAGCCACACTTGAGAACACAATTCAGGCTCCTTTTTACCCAGATATACTGATCAGAATTGGTTCCCACAGAATGGCATTCTTCTCCAGGCTGGATGGGGGTTTTGTGAGGCAAGGGCACCTCTTCATCACCTGGTCCTTCCATGCACATATGGTTGTGGTCATTCTGGGGTGGGAACTTGCTGCAGTTCAGGCTATCTGGCCAGGCAAAACCAAATTCTTTCAGGACTGGTTCACATCGTCTTTTGACTGAAAGACACATGCCACCGCACGGGCCAATGGGGATGTTGATCTTCTCTGTGCACATTGGCACATAAACCGAACAAAGGAAGAACTGGAAAAGTAATGACACGAACAAAGAAAACAATGAGTGGGGCTTTGACCAAATGTGCAAAATTGAGTGAACGCTTCCAGGCACTATCTACTCCTAAGCCAGCCTACTGGGAATATGTCTGTTTACTCTGACCTGAGACACTGGTGCCTACCATCCATCACTTTTACAGTTTCCTTAGTTGGATTCTGGTAACCCTTTTCAGAGGAACATAAATGAGTAAATAAGAAATGTATGAAGACTTCCATATCTTTTCCACATAAACCTTATGAAAACAAACTTTTAAAAACTGACTTCCAATATCCCTCTCCTTCTAGCTACCATTTGAAAGGCCTAAAGAGGCTAATAAAGTGACTTAGTCACTTAGGTAATAGGTGCTTGACTTTTATCCTCATTTCTGTCACCTTAAAAATAAATGTAAGAAAATATAGATCCTATTACCATTCTGGTTTTTTTTCCCCCTTAATTTCCATTTTAAATTTCAAAAGTCAATCCCCTATTTAGGACAGAAAATGTACTAATTTGAGACTGTTAGACTCAAGGAGGAGATATGGGTTAGGGGGTCTGGTCTCCAGGGATTTGTTTGGCTAGCGTTTTGTCAATGAATAATAACAAGACACAATAGGAAGATGTAAACGTTAAGCCCCTGAAATTGCAATACCAGCAGGCGGGAGTCCAGTTGCTGTCCTCAATTCCTCCAGCATTGATAAACAGTCTCCTTGGCTCCTTACAGATGTTGTCTATGGAGTCTAGGGTTACAAGTAACTATTTTCCAGCATGTAAAGGGATCCAGTCTTGTCTTTCAAAACAGCTTGGCTGCTTCCCCAGGATACATGTAATTAAAAATATATATCCCTGCAAAAGCTGTTTCTCCAACAAAATCACCACTGATGTCAGCTGTGCAATGTTTCCAAACTGAGAGGGAGAGGATCATTTCTCAAGCTTTTATAACCTAGTTTTGAAGTCCTGAAACGTCCACAGGGATAATTCACCAGCAACAGGTCTAACCCCACCATCTTCCCCAGACCACAATCCAGCTTTCAAAATGACCTATATAGAAACATGAGCTGGTAAGTAAACTGTATGTCTGTTTCTTATCTCTCTGCAAGTAGAACTAAAGATTTCTTGAGCTTTCAGTCTGGACAACTCTAACCTCTATTTTTCACCAGCTGCCCTCTTTTCTAGCTTTATTAAAGTCACTCAGTCTCACCAACCAAAACATGACCAGTGTTAAGTTTGTAAAACTTCCTTCCAATCCACCTCCTGATGGAGTTGGCTGTATATTCGAAATTATAACTACATTGTATATGCAAATTACTTTTCACTTACTATTGTAGGAAGAATTTCTATATCATTGCACACATGTAAGTTTCAACATTGTAATGACTGCCCCCAAAGGAGAGGGGAGAAGTTCTTCAGATATGCACACTACCTTCCTGGAGCTTTTTCAGTCCCTCTAAACACTAAACCTGCCTCCAACCCTAAGGACAAGAAAGAACTCAGGCCAAGGCTTTCCTGCATGACCTCTGAAGAGTGCAGGGTGACAGCGGGAGCATTCTGCAGGAAATGATTCTGCAGCGATCTTTTATTGGTAACCTATACTGGCTGCCCTGCCAGGACTCGCCCCCCAAGCAGCGGCTGCTGGATTCCTTGGCAAAGATAACCCTCAGCTCCACTGGGGTTAGGGGCTTGGCCAGACATGGGCAAGGGAGAAAAACGGAAGGGCGGGGTGTAAGAATGGGTTCTTTCGCGGGCCAGATGACTTACACAACGTTTTGGCTTCCAGTCTCCAAGAGGGACAGAAAAGTGGTGGGGGGGGGGGGAAGTGCGGGATGGAAATCACTTTTCCAGAAGTTGTACCCTCAAGTTAGTAAGGGAGCAGAGGGCTTAATCTGTCAGGGATTCCAAGGAAGGAGTTTAGAAGTTCCTGTCTACCGGGTCCCTCCAGGGGTGGGGGTAGGGGCGCCCACCTGCAGCTGGCTGGAGCAGCCGTACTGGATGAGCGGCGTGAAAGTTGTCAGCTGCAGCTCGGCGTCTGTCTGCAGCTCGTGTCCCACCAGGTTGGGCATCTTGGTCACGTTGTATCCGAGGTTCTGGCACATGGCGATGCGGATGGGGTCGCAGCGCCTTTCCTCCTCGTCCCCGAAGCCCAGTGCCGGCCGCAGGAGCAGGAGCAACTGCAGCAGCAGCCCCAGCCTGACGCCTCCAGGCGTCCCCGGGACGCTGGGCCCTGTGCCCCGCCAGGCCATGGCCAGAGCCACGGGCAGCAGCGGCGGGGACTGCTCCAGCAGACACCCCCAGTTTGCACAGGGGCGCTGGTGGCCGCGGTCCTCCCAGCTCCGGATAGGGAGTCGGGTAAGGCGCCAAAGGCGAAGAGCGGGCAGCGGCCGCCTCTCCGGCAGCTGTACGAGACTGTGAGGAATATCAGACACCAGGAGCCGAGGCAGAAGGACGGACTGCTAGGGTCATGGCTGCAGGCGGCGATCCCCAAACCGGCGCCGGCCGAGTCCGGCTTTTCGGCGAAGCCCGCCTGCACTCTACGCCGCGCTGCTCTCACCGCCCCAGCGCTCCACGGTGCTGGAGGTTCGCAGGGCGGGGGCGGGGCGTGACGGACAAGGTAATTGTCCAATGAGAGTCCGTCTTTGGCAGAGGGGGCGGGAAGGGGCGGGGCCTCTCTCCCGCTGGAAGGGTCAGGCCCGGGACCGCAGCCTGATCCTCCCTCCCTAGCTTGCTCCAGAGCCGCCCCGCCCCGCTTGGCTTCCAGGCGCTCGGCGTCCTCCCACCCGGATCCATTGCACACTGCGGCCAGGCGTCGTTTGGAGCCCCGTGGCTCCTGCCCAGCTAACCTGCCCTCCTCTGTCAGGTGAGAAGTGTTCACACATATGCCTCTTTCATGTCCTTCCCCTTCCAGTTGTCAACTCCAGCCCGGTGGCCACCTCTGTATCAAGTAAAATAAAGAACACAAAGAACACGGTATTTAGGATTTACACAGATTGTGGCTTTAAATCCTCGCTGTGTGACCTTGAGCAAATTGCCCAACCTCTCGGCGTCAGGTTCCTCATCCGTAAAGTGACTTGGGAGGATTAGCGATAAAACTGAACCGCTTAGAGCTGGTGCCTGGTACAGCGCGAGTTCGCAGCAATTTTCACCCCCCAGCCAGTGGGGCTGGCGCCCGGCCCTCCGGCCCCGCCCCGCGCTCGGCGCGACCTGCGCCCGAGAGCAACCGGTCTCCAGCTCCGGTGGGGGAGGCGCCCGGGAGCAGCAGAGCAGCGGACGGGCTCGCGCTCCGATTTCCTCACCGTACGAAATGAAATTCCACAGGGGGATTCGAAAGGAAATGAGGCCGGGACGCTCCGTGCTTCTCGGCCCGCCGCCCTTCCTGTCTCGGGGACACGGTTTCTAAATAAGGTTGGGAGGGTGAGAGCGCGGGAGAGAAGAGGCTTAACCTGGGCACCCGAGGCGAGGAAGGTGCACAAGCCACAGGGACGCCCCTTCCAGACCTGGGGCACCCCTCCCCTGCATCCTACGCTCCTCTCGTCCCCATTCTTGCATTGCGTGGGGCTTTGGGGATAGGCAAATCTCTCCACTTGGGTTCCAATCCAGCTTCTGTCCTTTTCACCCACAAAGGGCTTTGTGTTGGTTCATCCTCCTTCTTTCACTCCCTTTTGGGACAGGACGCTCAGCAGGTGATTTCCTAAACCATTTACTTGTCACTTGATAGGTCAAACTAATAGGAGCCCCAAACTTCTATTTGGCAGGCCAGCTTCTAGTGAAGTTCTGTCACAGTGGTCCTCAGTACATGAGGTAATGCCTGCAGTGTAAATCATCTAGCATGATGCATGACCGATGAATGGCACTGAATAACTCAGATATCATTTTGTTGTTGCTGCTGTTGATCGTGAAAGTCAGGTTATAAGACTACTCCCTGATTGCTATTCTCATTTTAAATACACCCCTGGCAGGCCAGGTTTGAGGATGTGGGTAATCAGTAAATGGACTTCTACCCTCATCTTCAGAACTGTTTGCCTAAGCACTTGCCAGTGTATTTCCTGGAGCTGTTGTGTCTTCCCAGTTCAGCTGATCCTCTGGAGCACAGCTGAGGTAAGGGCATAAATTGGAAGAATATGTGCACTTCTATTATATATTTTAGTTTTCTTATGTTGGCTGGACCCAGCTGAGGGTAAGCATGGAATCAGCTGTTTTTAGCATTTGGCTCTGTGCCTGGAACTGTTGGGCACATAGAGGCTACATCGTCTGAAATTATTGTTGCAATCTCCTGGTACAGGAGATTTATTGTCCCTTTAAGTAGATTGGGAAACTGAGGCTGGAACCAAAGCAATAATTAGAAATAATAGGGCCAATCAAATCAGGGCCCAGCCTTTTAAAGATGGAGGGAAAGATTACTTCCCAGGGGTTCAGGACAGGGTTGAGTCCTTTGTGTAGTGGTGTCAAAGGTCACTAGCTTACCAAGATGCATAAATGATCAGATGAATAGAGCAGTGGCTTATTCACTGTTTGAGAGGAACAAATGAGATGAGTAAATAATACATGATCCCCATCCTCTAGGATCACATAGGAGATAAACAAAACACACTCAGTAAGGTAAGCACACTGAGAATTGTGAGCAAACTGGAGGTAGAGGTAGCTGAGTCTGGGGAGCTACTCAAAGAGATGACCTGTGAGACTGTGAGCTATTTAACAAGGTGTGTTTGGTGTACTTCTCCTGGAGTACATGGAGTTTACATGGTTTATGAAACAGTAAACTTCCTGAAGTCAAGGAGGAGGATGAATCCATTACTCCCTGAGCATCTGGCACATAGACGGGTCATCATTTGTGTTGGGTGAGGGGGTATTATCAAATCAGTAACAGATTTCATAAGAAACCTTATTCTATACCAGTGCTCATTACTTATGATCACAATTATATTTTTAGTGCTCACAACCCCGGAGAAAGCATTTTTAGAGAGGCCAAACAATCTGCCCAAGGTGTCTCACTGAGAGGAGGACTCAGGTGCCCATCTGCTATAGTATAAACTCCATGTCAATGTTCCTACTTTCAAAGAGGAAACTGCTTAATTCTCAACCTCATGCACCATTAAGGATGGCCTTTTCTGTGGGGGATCCTAACTTCTTCTCCTAGGTCTGGAATCTCTCCCCCTGCATGTTTGAAGCAACTTGTCTCCTTTTAGAACATGTGAAGAAGCCCCTTTCCCATCAGAAGCTTTTCCTGTCAACAGGTTTTCTTTCCAGCCAGGGAACTCATCACAGGTATTTTCCAAAAAAGAAAGCCAGGGGAATCATGTTTCAGTCTGAATGTGGAGCGAAAACAAAGGCCAGGATTTCAAGCTAACTCTGAATGGCCCCTCGGCCTCCCTCTTGTTGAGTTGTTCACACGGCCCATAACTGCCCCTGGTACCAAATACAGCCTGCTTGTCTTTGTTACAGAAACAACTACTCTGAGGGATCCAGGCAGAGAGATATCACCCAGCGACAGGCACAATGTGTCTGAGAGGAAAAGACACATGAAAGAATCTTCAGTTACCCTAAAGTACAGGTCACCAGCCCTTAGTGGCTTTGTCGCAAATGCTAGGCAGTTTCTGTGGTCCAGCCTTCTAGTTTTTAGTATGTAAGCCTTTTGAAGCTGCTGCAAACATGACTTCTGCAGGTGGCTGAGGCAGTTGGAGAGCTGTGCATTCATATGTAATGACAGGCTGGGATCTTATGGACTTCTGCGATGTGTTGAGTTTTCAATGTGACATTTCTGCTATATTCGTTTAACGGTGCCTGAGTTAAAGGCTGCATTTGAAGGCCAGTAGTTAGGTTAAAATCTACCACCTAAGGGGTTGGGTGTAGTCAACATGCTCTCCCTTCTAAGAGAAACCTCTTATTTGTAGTTCTTTGCTAACCCAATTAAATGTTGAAGTGGTCACCCCAGAGCCTGCTTTTTATTTCCCGAGAAACAATCCAAACTAATCCATATTCAGTAGCTTCTAAGAAAAGTCTTATTCCAACCACTCGTGAAGAAACCAGCTTCTTTGAATCTAGACAGAACATTTAGAAATCACAAAAGCTGTCTTGATAGAAAATGCAAGGGAGTGATTCATTATTACTCTGATTGGTTTGGGAAAGGAAATTCACTGGGATTAATACCGTACCTATTGGGAATTTACTATGGAGCCTCAATAACACAGGGAGATGCCAAGCCACATCCTATCATCTTGCAAGTATCCTGAACACTACACTTATACTCACAATAGTTATCAAACAAAAACTCATCAGGTAGACGAGAACACCAATCTTGCTACAAGCTAAGCAATTGGCAGTCCTAAGAGACTAAGTAAGAGCTATTAAATGGCAGAGTCAACGTAATGTAGCTTCACAGAGTTAAACAAATGCAACATAAAAGAATACAACACATCTTTGCATCATTAAAACAAATGTTCCACAGCATAAACAAATGTAACACATCTTAAAATAGCATTCCACAACACTATCATTCTGGAAATGTCTTTCCCTATACCATTCCAGATTAATGGTAACCACAAGAGGATTTAGGACAAGATTGGAGGTAAAGGAGAAGCAAAAGTTTGATGCTCTGAAATTTAGGTGTGAGTGCCATACACTATGAACACAAAAACAATGGCTCACCTGTTCACATGCAACAGCAGCTGGACCTAAAGTTCCTTCAGCTGCAGATAAATGACTTCTTCCTGTCACTTACTTGACCAAGGTTGGATGTGGTAAAACAGTGTATCACTATGGGTTCCATTTTGCCCTGGATTTTAAGACATCACACCCAGCTTCCAGCCTTTCTTCTTGATTGCATCTCTAGCTGGTCTTAGATGACTTCAGGAACAACATCAGCCATAGAAGCAACACCTCACATGGGATATTTATAATAAATTCTTTACTCTTCATCACTCATAATGCCCCTGACTGGTATATCTCATAAAAAGATTCATTGAATATTAGTACTTGGACACTGCTCCTCAACTTACAGGGAAGCTATAGCAAGCAAATATGACTTGTCCATGTGGCATGACAAATGAGCTATTGCTAACTTACATCTTTGACCTAATATATATCACATTCTTCTTTGATGTATGTATGGGCCTGCAATCAGGCTGTTATATCAGATCCTGTTATCTGTACCAAGCATTTCATTGACGCAGGCACTTGGTAAGTGTTTTACATACATTGTCATGTTTAATCCACACCACTCCAAGAATAGATATTAAATCTGACTTTTCTCCAACTCCACAACTCTGAGCTGTCCAGACTCCTTCTCCAGCTCTCTGTTTTTAACCACTGAGCAGTAATCCAGTCTCTGTATATAGGAGGGAGCTTTTACAATAATCTTCAGAGGTTGTGTTCCTTTTTGACTCAAAACTTTTCAGGCTTTTCTCATTACAACTGGAATAAAATTTGCCAGGCCAGGAAGACCAGGAAGAGTGCTGCTTTTTCAGTCACATTTGGCTTTCTTACCACCTTAAATTGTTGTGTGCTTTTCTCTCTTCCCAGAACAGTCTAAGCTAGTGCCTATCTTCTCTGCCTAGAATGTTCCT